TTAAGCTTTTTCAATCCCCCTTATTCACGAGAAGAGCTGAGGGCTGGGGGAAGCCCAGGAGCAGACAGGGCAGCCTTTGTGTGGCTCTGCCTCCCACCCTGGGGCTCGCAGCCCCCCACGAGCCCCGGGGCAGAGCCTGGGGCTGCAACAGCCCCTCACAGCCTGGAGGAACACCTCGAGGGAGCAGAGCCTCATTTCCTGACAGACAGGGACAAATGAAGCCTTGAACGGCCCCTGTGACCAGACCCACCCTGCACTACCCCCGGCTCTCACACAGCTTCTCCAGGGCTGCTGGGGGGGATTGGATCCCAGGTGGGTACAGGATCCACATGTCCAGTGATGCTCAGAAGTCACTAAAAAACCCTCCAAGCATCAGCCCCACGTCCCAGGCCGGCCCTCCTGCAGTGACATCTGCCTGGTTGTTTCAGGGCAATCTTTGAGGAGAAGGAAGCATGGAAGGAATGTTTTGGTTACAGCCAGAGGTGCCTGACCTGCCAAAAACACGCTGCCCTTGCAAAGCTGAGCTAAGGGGACACACTGAGCACCCCAAACCCTCTCCTTGCTCCCATCAGCTGGACCCACAGAGCCAGAGCTGTGTCTGCCCTGCAGCTCCTCCAGACAAGGCCCGAAATGGGAATATTCCCCCAAAATACTGCACTGAGGCACACAAACACCATCTTCCACAGCCCCCTCAGACTGTGGCAGAGGCAGAAGCCTCAGACCTGCTCCAGAGCTCCCAGGAAAAGGCAGCTCTGGCTCCCACCCAGCACCTGCCCAGTGGCACCCAATAATGACATTTTAATCCAGAACCTCCTCAGCATCTTCCTCACCAGCTTTCACCAGCCCAGCATTTGCACCCCTAACAACAGGCAGGGCTGGGTGTCTCCTCCAGCAGCAAGGAGCTGGGGATTGGGACCAAAAACCATTCCAAAAACCCGCAGGGACCTGGAGCACTTCCCTGCTGAATCCCACCACCCACAGAACATCTCCCGTCCTGGCACAGTCGTCCTTTACAGCAATTCTTCCTCACAAGAAGAGATGGGGAGTGTGAAGCCCCCAGGTGGAATGAGCAGGGTGGGAGGGGATGGAGGGGAGATGTCAGCAGAACTCGCACCAGGAGCAGGCTCATTCCTTGTGGGACACACTGAGGACAAAAGCAAAGAGCTCCCCAAGACTCTTCCAAGCTCCTGGGCCAGCAAGAGGAAGATGTTTCTCTCCAGGAGAGCCTGGGCAGGGTCCAGCAAGGGCTGCAGCACCTCCAGGCTCCCCAAAACAGCCCTGTGCCTGTGCCAGCACTGCTCTGCCAGAGGCAAGGGAGGAACCCAGCTGAAAACGCCAAATTCACAGCTCTGATGACTTCCAGGAGATAACCTGAGTTTAAACTTCCTGGCAAGCCTAACCCTTCCCAGCACCAGCAGAGCCTCTTGCGCAAGCAGCGCCTGCCCGGGGCTCCTTCTCTCAGCAAATCTGCCCAGCACAACGGGCAGGAGCTTGGGAAACGGCCCGGCAGGAGGAGAGAGTCACAGCACAGCCCCGAGGGGAGCGGGCAGGCAGGAGGAGGCTGGCACAGGTGACAGTGGCTCCTCCAGCCTGGCTCTGGGAGCCCCACTGAGCCCCAGAGCCGTGGTGACAGCTCAGTGACACCCACAGTGGCCCCTGCCTGGTCGTTACACATGTGGGAATAGAACGCGGGGAAGATGGAGATGCCATAAAGCTCATTGCTGCTGGAATTCAAAACACATCCCTGCCACCAGACACCTCCCCTGCTCTTTATTCCATTTACTGCTTTTGTTAGACTAAGCTGAGGATATCACGCATACTTTTGGGTTTGTTTGGACCTGATTGCATCTGCTTTTCCCCCAGCCCGGTGCAGACAGCCAGGATCACAGATACCCGGGATTCCAGCCGCATTCCCAAGCTCCCGCCCGCACCTGCAGAGCCGCTGCTACTGGAACTGGAACTGCAGCCTGGCGGGGACACGCTGCCAAATTTCCACAGCAGCCCCAGCCTGTGCTGCTGTCCAGCCACATTTCCCTGAAAACACACGCTTGGCAGGACATGCAAGGAGCCTTTGGAGAGGCTGCCCCAGCTCGGTGCCGCACAGCAGAGGATGCAGGAGGACAGCGGGCACGGAGAGCTCAGAGGATGCTCCCAAGGCAGGAGGTGCTGCAGCCCTTGGGAAAGGGACAGCACAGAGTGCCAGCCTGCTGGGACACGGGTTTGCAATGATTGTGAGGCACACAATGACCCCAAACCTGCCTGACCCCCATCTTCTGGGGCCAGCAGAGCTGGGAAGGTTGAGCTCAAAACAGGAACCCACCTGCAGTCAACTTAATTCCGGTGACAAAGGAAATGAATCCATCCCTCCCCTGATCCCAAACCTACAGGCCAAGCCGGGTAAGGACAGCAAGAGCAGAGCAGCAAAGCCCCAGCCTGGCTGGGCGCCCCAGGAACATTCAGATCTGGGTTTGTATTTTGGACTTTATCTCTGGTTTAGGCTACAGCTCGCAGGGCAGGCGGGCACAGAACCACGTGCAGCCCTGACGCCAAGAGCCTGAATAATCTCATTACATATGACAGCAAAGGCTGTGCCAGCTGCACCACTGCTGAGCCACAGAGCTCACCTGCCCTCCTCACTGGGACACCACCTTGGCACAGCACAGCACTGAGGGAAAGCCCTTACCCACCAAAAGATGCCATCATCCTCCTCAGCAGCAACAGAGTGAAGATGGAGCCACTCTGAGCTCCCAGAGTGCTCAGAGCAGATCCTGTGTCCCCCCTCCCTGTGTCCCACCTTCCATGTGACGTTTTTTGTGGCTCACAGCATCTCCAGCAGAACTTTTTGTTTCAGGTCATCTCAGGTCCAGCAGCATTCAGGGACTCTGTCCCCTCCCCAGGCCACAAAGGAGCAGCGAGTTAATGCAGCCATTCAAGCTGCCAGCTGCTGTAATCCCCACCTCAAATTGGTAGGATCTTAAAAGGCTGAAATGTTTGAAATGACTCAGCCACGGGGTACAAAGGAAGAACGGTTTAAAAGGCTGTTAAAGCTCTCTGCATTCAGACCTGCTCTTGCGTGCTCTGCTCCAAGCCTCCAACCCATCCACGTCCTTTGGGGAACCGGCCACAAGCTGAGAGTCCTCCCCAAAATGAGCCCAAAAGGAGCCTCCAGGCAGCGGGCACAGCCAGCCAGAGCTGAAAAGGAGCTGAAAGCGTTTTCAGAGAGCAGGAGAATCACGAAATGGTTCGGTTGGAAGGGACCTTGGTGGTCATCTCCTCCCAACCCCCCTGCCATGGGCAGGCTGGTTTTTCATCCTGCAGCAATGAAATGGGACCCACAGCAATGAAATGGGACCCACTTTCCATGGGATCCAGACCCCAGGGGCTGTAAAATCCAACACTGCCAGCCCCAGATATGACCACGATGCTGGCTCAGTGTGACTGCCCTGGCTACAAACTCCATTTCTGGGGAGTGGTCAAGCCAAGCTGCGTTCCCATGCCAACCTCTGGAGCTGGTGGAGGGATTGCCCTGGTCCTGCCTCAAACTCTTCCCTTCTCCAAAATCAGCCTACAACATCAGCCAGGTCCTGAAGACCACAAAGGGCAGAGGAGCTGAGTAGCCTGGGATGGGCACGGGGCTACCTGGGACACCTGGCACAAGCCAGAGCCCTGGAGCTGGCCCGTGCTGGGCTGTGGAAGCCACCGTGGCCCCGCAGGCAGCCCCGGCGCGGCGCAGGGGAGGCAGCAGGGGAGGCAGCACGTTATTCTTGGAAACCAGGAGGTGAGGTCATGCTGCCTGAATGCTGCAACTTGAGGCCAGTTGTGCTTGGAGAGGAGCCTGAGCTCTGCAGCGAGGGCTGTGTGCAGGTCGGGAGGCTGCTGTGCTCCGAGCAGGAGGAAAGGGTTTCGTAAGGAAGGAGGGCTCTTCCCTCTCAGCTCCTCAGCAGACAGCAAAACCACAGCAAAAGGACGGGTTTGGAAAGAGCAAAGCCCTCGGTGTGGGGCACAGGAGCCCATCAGGAAGGATGAGATGGCAGATCACGAACCTGGAGTGATGCTGCTGCTGTGCCACAGGACCTGGGCACTCCTCTGGATGCCTCCCACTACCTGCACTGCCCTGCAACCCAGCAAGAGCCCCTCCATCCCATCAGACACCAGAGCACATCCCAGAGCTGGCTGGGAAGAGAGAAGTCACCACCTGGACCCTTCAGGCTCCCTCAGCAGGAACCTTCCAGGAGTTTCCATCACCTGTGCCCACCCATCGTGCTCCAAACGTGCCAGACCTGGCTCTCAGGGTGCCCAGCTCCAGTTAATTAATTTACACATTGTTTTTGGTTGGTTCAGAGCACTGACAAAGCTCAGCTCCTGTTCTGCATCACTCACTACCCGAGGCAGAGCCATCACCTCCACAGCCCCACGAACTGTCCTGGAACAGTTCCTGCTGTGTGTGTGGCTCTGATCTTGCCAAAGGCCAGCAGGGCTCAGCGTGAATGGCAAAATCGTCCTTTTACCTGGTGGAATTTGGCTCTTAAATCGCACATGCAGGGCTGTGTTTTCACCCTGCATGCCACAGGCAGCTCAGCTCCTCAGCCTCTGACGTTCAGTAAATCACTGCATCTCAGTTCCCCGCCTCTGAAAACATGGGAAACGTCTTTTGCAAGAGCCATGGCTGATGGCATTAGATTATTATTGAGAGGAAGAGCCCCGCCACTTCCTGAGCACGTACCAAAGAGAAAACCCCTGCTCCTGCTCCCAGCCCTTATCAGACCATCACAGTCAGAGCTCTGACTGCTCAGAGCATGTGAAGTGTTTAAAAGAGACTATGGCAAATCCTAAATCGTTTAAACAAACTCAAACCCCAAGTCAGTAGACTCCTTTGGTCAATGAGATAATAAACCACTGCTTTGGAAAAGTCCCAGTGATGTCACTGCAGTTTCCACAGCCTTTCAACCACAGCTTGCACAGAAGGCCACGGTGAAGACATTTGTGATTATATAAAATACATGGCAGAGCTAATAAAAAAAACATCTCTCCACTGAGAGAGGGACAGAAGAAGAGCAGACACAGCAAGCTGCTTCCCATGAGCACGAGCCCAGGATCTCCATTTACTGCCTCACTTTGGGGGTGTTTTTCCAGATGGATTTTCGGGAGGACAGAGCATTTGATCTCACACGAAGCTGCAGGACACAGGGTGCTTTGGCTACACGAATTCCCTCATCCACAGAGCTGCTCAGCTCTCAGCTCCGAGCTGCCTGCCCTAATTCCACAACAGGCACCTTCCCAGAACAGCAAACCACAAGCAGCATCTTCCTTCCTCCTTCTCCATCAGGGGAACCAGCACTCACAGATATCAGATGAGGCCACGAGCGAGACTGGGAGTGTTTCACAAACACCAAAGCACGGAGGATGCTCCAGAAATGGGGCAAACCCACGAGCTCAGGGCCCTGAGCTCCTCCAGCCCTTCCAAAGCTCACCAGTCCGGGTGAGGATCTCCTGCTTTGAAGCTGAAGTCAGCAGCGAGGTTTGTTCATGGATTTTAAAGGAAATCTCCTCCACAAAGAGCTCCAACACATACAACAGAGAAAAACTCATCACCTGCAATACCAGTCCCCACTCTCCAGCCTGCCTTAGCTGCCATTTCCTTGTGGAATTAAGGCAGCCAGCCCAAAGATTAGTCTTAAAAGTGGAATTTGCAGCGGGCAAAGAGCCCTCACTGCCAGCCCCACCACTGCAGCCTGACCACAGCCAACCCTGCCAAGTCAGGCCAGCAGTGACCTACATACAGCAGCCTCCACAGAAACTACCAGCCTAATTTTGCCTAATAATAAATCACACCAAGGTAACAAGGAAGAACGGGGTAAGGAACCAGGCGTTTCAGCTCCATTCATCACCTCTCCCTGGGCTTCCTGTTCCCACCCTGCACATCACCGTGCTCCAAACAGGGTCACGGGTGACTGGGACCATCCGTGGCTGCCTCACACCAGGTAATTCAGGGATGCCACACTTCAGGTACCAAAAAATACAATAAAACTGGAGGTGGGAAACAGAAAGATGAAGAAGAATCCATAAGAAAAGTAGAGGAATCTCTTGTTTTCACCCAGGTACTACACAGCAAGCAGAACTACCATCCATTAACTCGCACACAGCATCACTTTATTTAATGATGTGTCTCTGCCATGGACTATTGCTCTGGAAGGGGAAGAAAATTTGCCTTAATGTTTTCACTGCTGCTAGAACACTGTCCCCAAGCTCAAACTCTCCTGGAGCACTGAAAAGCTCTCTTCAGCAAAGTGACTCTCAGCAGAACCCTTAACAAAACCATCTCTTGATTTGGGAGAAAGAACTTTAACAACACAACAGTTGCTCGTGACCCAAGAGGAAGCACAACATGACCAGAAAAAAATCATTCACGTCAGGAAGAGACACAACTGTGTCTCATCCTCCAGTGAAGGATTGCATTGTTAGACAAGATTTTGGAACAGCAAACCTAAAGAATGACACTCCAAATGGAAAGGTTCACTGCACAACCAAAGCAGGCAGCAGACAGATTTCAGCTGTGGCTCCTGGCGATGGGCCATCAGGATTCTTTTAAGCATCATCTGAAATATGACAACTCGATGCAATCACTTCTGTGGATCCTGCTTTAGGTCATCTTTCCACTGTGATGCAGCCCATGAGTAATTTGGACCCAAATACCTCTCCACAGGTCTCTAGCAGAGACGTCAGCCCGGCCGTGTACCCGAGGAGGGAATGAAGTCAGCACACATCATGTCTAGGGCAGACACCCACACCAAGTTTGGGCTCTGCAGCTCAGTCCAAACATCCCAATGGAGTAAGCCAAGGCTGTAGCTCACACTCCCAAGGGCAGGACGAGAACCCAGGGGCTCGTCCCAGAGCCCAAAGTCAAAGTGTAGCAGTTTGGAAGGTGCTGGAGGGAATCACTTACAGTAGCAGCTGTGCTGCTCTTTGAGAAGCCAGGGACACGTCCAACCACTCAGCTGAACTCGTCCCTCCCCGTCAGGGACGCCAGGAGAGGCCAGGACAGGGGACAAGCAAGACAATCCCTTTTCCTAAAAGAGATTCAGTGTCGAATATTCCTCACCCCGCAAGAGCCACAGGGACACTCTGTGTCACCCTCCTGCATCCCAGCTTGCAGTCCTGCACCTCTGGAGGCTTCTCAGCAAGCCAAGGGACCCGTGTGACATGTGACACAGAGGCTGAGCCCTCGCTGTGGCACGGGCAGGGTGACAGCCCCAGTCCTGTGCCCCAACCACAGCGGGCACAGGAACCTCCGGGCTGGGCCTCCTCCATCCTTCCCCTTTCAGGGCTGGGGAGAGGGAAGTGCTGGGATCTGTGCTTTAAATATGTGACTCAACTTCAGAGGCGAGGAGGAGCCCGTCTGTCAAAACAGAAGAGGATTTTGCTAATTTCCAACCCAAAGAGTTGACAACACAATGTCACCCTGGAGTACAACGTGGGGCGCCTCATGAGCAATGTCTCTGGTGTTCCTGAAGGAAAAGCCAAATTTTCAACACCTAACTGACCGCCCTTCCTTAACCACAGACATTCAGCACGGTACCCACCCCATCACCTCTGCAGCACAACTTGTACCCCCAAAGCCCCACGTTCATTCCCTCACTCAGGTTAGGAACCCCAGACATCAACAGAGAGGCAACCCTAAACACAGAAGAAGTGGGGTTACAGGTTTAGGTGGGAGTTACAGGTTTAGCTGAGGGTTATGGCTTTAGGTGGGGTGTTTTCAGCCTTCCCAGTTCTCAGGGTAACGCCAAGGATTGGAACAGCTCATGTGTGGGCGCAAATTGCACGGATGCTGGAGAACACGGCGCTCCCACCGAGCAGCCAGCTCTGCTCCCGCGTCACCCAGCGTGTCAGGAATCCATTCAAACTTCCCCAAGCCTCGCTGGCAGGGAGACACGCTCCCCTCTTTGCTCAAAAACCTCCTTTGGAAACAAGGAGAAGGGTCGCATCACCTAGAGCGGGCTCACACACACCGCGCTGTTTATCCACGCCTGTCAAAGAGAAGCAAGTTAGGGACAAGGAGTGACATCGTAACGCTGCAATATTCCCGGTGGGAAGCGGGGGACCACAGGAGCTCGGTGTTACAGCCAGGAGGGGACACGGGACGGGGACAGCGAGGAGCTGCCGGGGCTCACACCACACACCACGGAGGGAACCCCACGTCCCGCGGTGTGACCCCCGCACTCGGGGATGCACACCCCGGCATCCCAAGATGCGCATCCCCCGGGAGGATCCCAGCCAGGCCACGGTCTCCTCTCCACTCCTGACCCCCCACCCCAACCTCGGGCTACAAAGATGTCATTTCGCTCCGTTTCCCACTACAAAGCCAACAAGGCGCGTCTCGCCGCTCTCAATGCGGGGAAAAAGCGGCGATTAAAGCGCGGCCGGAGGGGCGGGCGGGCAGCTCATTGTCCGGCCGGCCCCGCTGCCGCCCGTGGCCCCCCCGGGACCCCCTTCCCCCGCAGCAGACACTTCCATCACCGCCAGCAGCGCCGCTGCCGCTCCCCGGCCCCTCCCGGCCCAGAGCCCCGCTCGGTCCCCGCGTCCCCCCCCGGTGCCCGGCGCGGGGGTCCCCGCGCACCTTGAGCGCGAACTTCTCGCCGCTCTTCTTACTGAAGATCTCCAAAACTTTCCCGTTGATGCCGAGCCCCAGCACTTGCGTGGTGACCTTGTAGTCGTCCGTGATGGCATTCTTCCGGATCTGCAGGCCGCCCTTCCCCGGGAACGGCGGCGGCCCGTGCGGGGGAGCGGCGGGCGGCGGCGGCGGCGGCGGCTGCGGCGGCGGAGGGCTGGGGAAGCCGGCGGGCGGCGGCGGCGCCCCGGACAGCATGGCGGGCTCGGGAAAGGCTCGGGGAAGGCTCGGGGAGGGCTCTTGGCAGGCTCCGGGCAGGCTCCGGGCGGGTGGAGCCCCGCGGGCCGTGCGGGATGGGCCGGGGGTGCGGGGGGTGAAGCAGCAGCGCCGCCGCCGCCGCCGCCCCCCGCCGGTGCGCCCCGGCCCCGACAAGAGCGATGGCTCCGGTGCGGCGGCGGCTCCTCCTTCTCCTCCTCTTCCTCCTCCTCCTCCTCCTCCTCCTCCCGCCGGGCCGGCTCTGATGTCAGCGCCCCGGCCGCCGGGGGAGGGACGGGGCGGGGCGGCCCCGGGGCTGAGCCTGCGCCCGCCGGACCGGCCCCGCCGCTGCCCGAGGGGAACCGGGGCAGGATGGAGCCGCGACCCCCGGCCCCGCCACCCCTGTGTCCCCCCCTCCCCTGGAGCCGGCGGTGGGATGGCAACAGGTCGCGGGATCGCAGTGACCCTCCGGTGACAACAGGAAGGGCCAGAGCAACGCAAGGGGGAATGGGCTCAGGTTCCGAGAGAGAAGGTTTAGGTGGGATATTGAGGAAAAAATTGTTCCCTGTGAGCGTGGGGAGGCGCTGGCACAGGATGCCCAGAGAAGCTGTGGATGCTCCGTCCCTGGAAGTGTCCAAGGCCAGGTTGGAGCATCCTGTGAAAGGGGAAAGTGTCCGTGCCCAAGGCAAGGGTGGAATGAGATGATGTTCAACGTCCCCTCCAACACAAACCATTCAGTGATTGTACAATTCAACCAGTAACGATGTCACACCCGTGCCCGGCGCCTCCTTCCTGTCCCGAGAGCATCCCGAGGTGACAAAGGGCTGCTGTGAGGAGTGGGTGGCTGCTGGTGCCCAGCACCTCATCCACCATCGCTCCATCCACAGCCACTTCCCAGGGATGTAACCAACACCACAGCACAGAGAACATCAGGGCTTGGGAAGCCAGTCCGAAAAGAGTAAAGCCTGTCCTGATGATAACAAATAACTCCTATGGCCGTGTTCATCCCAAATCCAACAAAGATGAGGCCAAAAGAGAAAGGATCCACACTGAAGGGATCCAACCTGCCCTTGAGCTGCCTGACAGTAAAATACAATGAGCATTCCTTCTGCTAGAGCACCACAGGAAATCAAGATACTTCGTTTATGGATATAAAAAGCACACTGATAATCCCTGTTTTCTAAGTAAAGGACACGTGTTTTTTGACGTCCATCCCTCTTACCCAGCTGTCCCACAAAAGGCAGGGAGTGTGCCCTGGGGGAGGGATGAAGGAACACCACGGTACACAGGACCTACACCACGTCCTCCTCAAGCAGCTGCCACCACAAGAAAGAAGAATCCAGGTCCTAAAAAGGGACAGGACAGTGAAGGGCAGGCCAGGGAAGGGCACGCTGTGGTCTCTGTGTGTCCCTACACACAGACAAGGCCACCCCGGAGCAGGAGGCATCTGCTCCACCTCTGCCACCTCAGCACCTTCTGAGATCAATAAAATCCTCTTAGGTTTTTTAATTAAACCAATAAAACTGCTCCCAGTTTTGCAGAGGCAGTTCTTGCCCCGTGGCTGATCAATAGCTGGGTGAAGCAGAGGATCCAGCTAATCAAAGTACGTCATTAACAGCAAGAGACTGAACGTCTGTCAGGAGGTGGCAGTGACAGTCACCAGATGGGAGAGTGAGTAAACCTACACCAGGCGCTGGCAGCTTTATAAATAAAACTCTTGTCGAGCTCCCCGTGCCTTTCACTGAGTCCTGAGTTTCCCTGAGGAACCTGGAGAGCAGCAGAGGCATTCTCCCACTCCTGGCTAAGCTCTGGCTGCAAGATTTCCCTCTTGGAAAAGGAATTCACTCTGAGCCTTGCAGCATCTCCCAGAATGTGATCCTGCACCCTTCACCCCGGCTAACAAGGGGTTTCAGGGGGTGGGAGTTAAACCCAACAGACCCTGTAGCCACAGATCAAAGCTGCTTCAAAGCTGCTGCTCTGTGGGGTTTTCCCAGCCCTGGCGTCCCCTTGCTTGGGCTCGTCTCAGCACGTCTGGGGAAAGGAGCCTTTTAAGCCAAGTTTTTCTCCACAGAGGAATCTGGTCAAAGGAAAACGATTGACCCATTTCGTTGCTCCGTTTCCTTTCGTTTCATTCATATTTGCTTTGTAACCCGACCCTTCAGCTATTTCAAAGATAAACACCAGTGCAGAGGAGGCACAGTTTGGGAGCCTCGGGTCCTGGGTTTCCCATGGAATCCTCCTTGGTTACTCACCCGAGGTGAGGGCAGTGCTGGCTCCTCCATCACAGCCTGGGCCCCTGGAGCTGGGACAGCAGAGCCCCACTTCCCTCTGCCTCCAGGCTTGGGGGGGGTCAGGAAACCACATCAGTTAATCACAGAATCGTGGAATGGTTTGGAAGGGACTTTAAAGCTCATCCAGTCCCACCCCTGCCATGGGCAGGGACAACTTTCACTGTCCCAGGCTGCTCCAACCTGGCCCTGGACACTGCCAGGGATGGGGCAGCCACAGCTGCTCTGTGCCACGGCCTCCCCACCCTCACAGGGAAGAATTTCTTCCCAATGTGCAATCTAAAACCCCATCTTTTAATTTAAAACCATTGCCCCTTTAGCACCTTTTAACTATTTCTAAGGTAAGTCTGAAGCTTGCAGGGAGTTTGTCCTTGGTCTATTTCAAGTCGTGCTTGTTGACAAATTTAAGCTTTCTCCTGTAAAATTCATGTCATGGGGACAGATGTTTGTTTCCATCATGACACCTTTTACAAGTTAATTTACAATGACAATCTTCTGCTGGAGTCAGTGGGAAGCAATGAGCCCTTCGGTGTGAATTTATTAAGAAATAAAGGATTTATTAAAGCAATAACCATGGAGGGGCAGGCAAGAGATGGCCCAGTGCGACCATAAATATTTGATTTGCAGTTCTGTGCCCCTTACAGCAAAGCTGAGCAGTGGAGCCTCGGTGAGGCAGAATTAGAGAGATTTCCCCAGAATTATCCAATCTATGCTACAGACGGGATAGAGGGGGGCCAGGTCTCTGTTCCGGGATCTCGGGGACTCCGTGCCCGGCTCGGAGCTGCTCGCCACGAGTCGCCACGAGGTGGCCCCCGGGCCCCGCTGTGCCCGTGGCTGCCGGACGGGAGAGGCGCGGAGGGTCCGGTGTGCCCAGCCCTGGCTCTGGGGGGGACCCTAAGGTGTCACCTCTCCCCAAAGGGAACCGTCCCGGTCCGCCCCACACCGAGCATTGCAATCCCCAGGGAGTTGTGCCACAGCAGGGTTAGGCTGGGTATCAGAAAGTTCTTCCCCCAGAGTGTGGTGGGGGCTGACATCCACCCGCTCCCCTTCCCACACACCCACAGCTTTAACAGCAGAGGAGCAACCACGTATGGGGTCCAGCACGGCAACAACCCACCAGATTCTGCTCCCTTTTTATCAAAAAACAAAACAAAACAAAAAAACCCAAAACCAAAACCAAAACCAAAAAAAACCAAAACAACAACAACAAAAAATAGCAACTCAAAAACCTTCTATGAGCACCAAACCCAGCAGCAGTGACCTCCACTCCTCAACCAGGAGAAAAATCATCCAGATGAGAATGGAAATTGGTTTTTCCCTCCTTGCCCTCCCATTTCCACCATCACTGGCTGGCAGCAGGCTCGGCCTTTACGTGACAGAAGTGGCTGATCCATGATCGTGCTCTCCATGGCGAGTAATAAACCAGATTGTTATTTGATTATAGCGGAGTTACCAGGAAAAAATAGACCACGAAAATGAGGGTACTGCTCATTAAGGCTCTCTGCATCCTGTTCGTCTCCCTGGGTGGATCTGTGGGAGCACGAGGTTGGTGAAAACTATCCCACCTAAAAAATGATAATTCCTTTAAACAATCCCACGTGCTTTTAGGAGAGGGGTAATAGAGTTGAAAAGATGTTCTTAATCACCATTACAGCTATCAGTGCCACTTGTAAAGCAACGGAAGGATTGAAATAAGCACGGGAGGCAGCGCTGGAAGTTGCACCGAGGTTTTTTTCCACCGTTCCCGGAGCTCCAGCTCAGCTCCCAGCAGCTGCTCCGCTCTCCCAGGAAGCGGCTGCATCCCAGTGCCTGGAAGTGATCCTTGTGCACGGTTTGCAAATCTATTTATAAAGCACTGTGGGATCCTTCAGGATGAAAGGAGCTATTCTAACTCGCCTTTATTTCCCCAAAACGCAACCACAAACTTTCTCACACTGCTCCGCTCAGGACGAGTCTGAGCAATGGCGTTTTTACGGAGCCGTTTTTATGGGCTGGGTCTGGCTGGCCAGGTATTTACCCTTGCCAGGGGTGTTTACCAGGGGCACCGCCCTTGTGCGGCAGCAGGGGATGGAGCGATGCCCCTTGGCACAGGCTGGGCAGAGGCAGCGGCTCCAGGGTCGGGATTCCCGTCGGGGATTATCACCCGCGGGCTCCGGCGTTGCTGGCATTCCCCAGCGGGACGGATCCCCAGCCCCTTCCCGCTGGACATTCCCGAGCTGACACACAGAGCCCATGATTGAGAGACATGTCAGGAAATGCTGCTCGGGATTAGAGCTGTCTGCCTGCTGGGGATGAGGATTTTCCTGCCCCTTTCCTTGCCAGCCGGGCACAGGGCACAGGACAGGGGACCCACGGTCCCTAAGGGACAAACCAGCACGTCCTGGGTGCATCCAAGTGTCCACCTCAAGCAGTGACCCCCCCCATCCAGGAAGGGTTTAGCACAAGGAAGGAGAACACTAAAAACCCCTAAAATCCCCCAGCACTGACCCCTTACTCTGCTTTTCCCAACACAAGGATTTTCCCACCTGGAAACTGGATCCTGATTCATCTCCCACCAGATGATGCCAAAGGTACTTCCCTAAATCCCAGTCACACAAACCACCCCTCAGAAATACAGAAATGTGCAGGCCCTGAAATAATTGGCTTTTAAAGGGATGGAGCCACAGATCCCACACCGGGAAAAACCTAAGGGATAGGCTGGGGCTAAGGGACCTG